TCTGGTTGAAATCCAAGTGCTAACATTACGAAAGTGACCAAGAAGAAAATGAGGCTCAAGTTGTACTGTAATACCAAAATGAAGGATAGCGGCTGTTAAATGATGCAAGAAATATCTAGGACTTTCTGAAGTTTTAAAAGAGGCCTATCGCTGTCTCTGAAGAGTTAAGAAAAAATGTTTATGACCAGAATATTTCTTAAAATCATGTTGCATGTTTTAGGACTGACTATAGCTACAGGCAAGTTTGAAGTAGTGTTGATGTGAATTTCAAAAGCAAAGGATGATTTTGAGAAATTCCATGCTAGGCAAGCAATAATCACGTACTTACATAGCCCCACTACTTTAGCATGTAAAATAACTTTACTAGATTATCATGTTAGATGTGGGCAAACTAAGTGTACTAATGGTCCCTACTCAGAAATAGCAGAAGCCTGGGACTGTCTTGTTGAAGTTTTCCCATTTCCTGTTTTAACTGTTTCTGCAGTTTCTCATGCTGATGTTCCTCCGTCATACACAAAAGATGCACTGTTCCTGACCTACCAAACTGTATGAGTAGCTGGGAAGGAAGGTGGACATGTTCCTTTCCTCTGTCCTGAATCTAGAAAAGATACTGAGAACAGCCTCAGCTAATCTGCATTTTCCTTCTCTTACCCAGTGTAACACCCACCCAGTTAAAGCATACAACACATTATGTAGCTGCTGTTAGTAAAAGAGCTCTAGCTCAGAAATGAAAAATGTTGGATTAGTAGGAATTATTTTAGAGGTCTCAACTTATATGCTATATATGTTTCTACTAAAGGTCAATATGGCATTCTTTAATTTTATATCCATCTGCTTCATTAGGTAAGGGAAAGTAAGCTAGATATAATGGATTTTCAGGTAGTTTTAATCAACAATTTCATCAACAACACATTTTTCACCTGTGATAACAGCATAATGGGAAACTAGATCAATAAATTAATTATATTTGTTGCTTTCTAAAGTCTTTTTTTAAAAAAAATGAATTACAGTAAGCATGGTGGTGAAAATTGGAAAGAAAAAAATGATAAAAAAAATAACCTTTCAGTGTTGAGCAATTGATCTCAAAACTACGTCTGCCTATTCTTATTTTTTGAATACTTTCACTATTATTTCATATAAAAGATCAAAAATTAGGAGATCTCTAAACATAACATCCATAGCATAACAAATACACAGTATAATTGACTTTACTGGCATATTAGCCAGAACAGGATGATGTAACAGCAGACTGCTACAGGATAGAAATGGCAATATATTAATCTAAGGAAAATCCAACCTCTTTACTTCATGGGAACTCCTCCTCCACACACTATGATGAGGATAAACATCCTCATCTTTTCCATCCACCCAAGCTTTTGTTAGCACCACCACAAAGGGAGACAGGGTAGCAATCAGAGTTGTAGGGAGGCACCTTTACAGTCAGGATGCTTTCTTGTTAGGAAGAACATTTCCTTACTGAAAGGCTTATTTGTCTCCAAGATACTGAGTTCTTAATAGCCTAGGAAGAGTAAAATAGCTACAAATCAGCCAAGACTTCTCTGCAGACACTAGCAGGTCTGAAAAACATTTGTTCTCAAGAGAAAGTGGAAGCTGCAGTTCTCCTGTTTGCTAGCCTTGCTAGCTCCCCTAATAACACACCATCTAAAGTCACAGCTCTTCTGCTCATATCTGGTTTGTCCTTCGTTGTACAATGGAGCACAGTGCAAAGAGCCCCAGGCAAGCATCAGATTGGGCTGGTAAGTCTATGGTACTACACGAAATGGATCCAAAAAGCAGCTCTGCCTCAGGATAAGGCTTATTAATTTGCAATGTTGCAAAAGTATAATTTAGTTTCAGATCCAACTCAGGGACAGCCATAGGAGTGTCACTTCCTTCTGCCTCAGTGATTCCAGTGCTTATCCTGTACAAAATGGACGGGAACTATAGTTTGCAGTTTTGGTAAGCACTACATATGTGCTGCTAACTACTCTGTGCTCTGTTCCTGTTTCCTTACCTCAAAGGACATTTCTTTCTTGTGTTTGTTTTCTATCTCTGAACTGAGAAGTATAGAAGTATACTGAGAAGGCTGAAGATACAGCAAGAAATAGGTTCAGCAAAACAGAAACAAGATGATCTAAGTTGGCAACTCTTCCATATCAAGGTCTATTCAGCATCACGCCTTGCTACTGCTTCCACCTCTCCTCTTGATTCTCCCAATAACCAAAAATAATCAATCTTTAACATTTACTTCTTAATGTGCTAACATATTCTAATCACCAGAAGAACCGAGTTCAACACTATTTTCTTCTCCTTGCTGGGCTCACTGGTTAATTCCCAAAGACATCTTGCTTCCAGGCATTCCCTGAAGCTTTCTGACACAGAAGTCTGCACCATTTGGGAAGATTTAATTTTGCAGACTAGTATCACATGACCCTGATCCTCTGACCCAAATAACAGGTCACATTTAAAAACATCTGGGACTGGATTCTCTGCTAGTTTTGAGGAGAAAACTGACTCTAATACTTTGAGCATTGAAGGGAGACCTATACAAATATTAAGCACATAAGTGCATGAGCAGTGGAATGGATTTAAATCTGATTTCTGAGTCTTATAAACTTGTGAAGTGAAATGTGAAAATGTGACTTAGGACTGAATTTTTTCTCTACAGTTGTGTTATGGATTCTGTGGAGCCTCATAAGATTTAAGTTCATGATGCAACCTTCCCTCAGCTGGGCAACGTAGAATTATTTGCTTTTGGCCACTTATTTTCATCAAGTTTGCTATAACTCAGTTATCTTGGAACTTCTGTTCATTATGTCACTCTTGGTTGGAAAAGGCCGCTAGATTCAAAAATTATTAGGGGGTACACAAGGACAGATACATGCATGGAGACAGTCTGATCACAGATGCCTTGTTTCCATAGGAAACCAAACTAAAAATAGACAGTTTCCTAAGTGTTAAGATGGAATTTTTTTTTTTGTTATTGCATTTGTAAACCAAACAGACCCACTATTCACATGGTTTTTCCACATGAGAAATTAGAAAGAAAAGTAGTCTTTATTTTTCTGATAAATGCATCAAGATACGTAATACAATGACTAGTGACAAGCAGCCAGATGATCCAAACGCTGTGATATTCTGTACTGGATCGCTGAGTTGTCTGTATGGCAGTATATATGAGGTTTCTCTTTCTCTTAGCAATAACTCTAAAATCATTTGATAAGCATAGAGAGCTCTATTTGCTAGAAACACAATGCATGATGACACCAGTCTGTGTAAATTTTATTGCTTTGAATGATCCAGGCACAAATAAGGTCTCTATTTTGCTTTTCATTCATCAAAAAAATGATAAAACAGATGTTAGCAATTCATTTTTTCCCCCATCAGTTGCTAAGTATCAACCTCAATGTGGCATGCGGCAGCAAATGATAGCGAGACACGCCAAGACTGAGAAAGCACAGCTTTCTTTTGTAATCAAAATAATGTGGTCATTATAGCATGTGCATGAGCTGTGCAGTGCAAGTTTTGGCTGAGTCCTTGTAGAAGGTGACATTTTACATATGGATGTCCTTAACATGTTTGAGGTGTTTGAGTAAAATCTCTTGGGGATATTGTATAAGGGAATATATAGAAATGAGGTGAGCCTCTCAAGCGATGGATGGGAGAGATAGAGAGTCTGACTGACAACTCAGGCTATCTGTGTATCATCCAGCTAAGCACAGATATCCTAAGACCACAAGAACTGTATAAATACAGATAATCTGAGAGTACTGAAAGGTCTCAAAGAAGAAGACTATTTTTAAGGTGGAGTAACAATGTGGAAGAAATAACTTTCGTGGCACCTTATTTGTTAGCATGTGAAGCTGCTGCATGGTAACAGCCTTCTAAACCCCTATTACTTGGACTGAAGCTGCAGATGGTACAGGTTGGTTGTGTTTATTGCTACCATTGCATCTCAGGTGATTTAGACCCACTGATGGTCACCAATTTATTGGGAGAGAGAGATCAAGAACTTACAGCTAGTTGCAGAGGGATGTCTTGGCTATTAGCAGCAAATTGTGGATGTGACTGGAAATTTCACAGAAAGAAATGTAATGGCCTTCATTTGTATTACCCACACAAAAGAACATACAGCAGTACAACAAGGTATGTGTCTCAAACATGCAGCTCAGAAAGGGCGGCTAGCAGTCCTGGGTTCAAGCTGTGTGTCAGCTCTTCCACTTGTATGTCAGACCTACTTGAGATTGTCTGTGGTGACAGAAACCTGCAGGGGACCTCAGACCTGAGAATCAGATCACAGAATCACAGAATCACAGAATCGCCAGGGTTGGAAGGGACCTCAAGGATCATAAATCTCCAACCCCCCTGTCACATGCAGGGCCACCAACCTTCTCATTTAATGCTAGACCAGGCTGCCCAGGGCCCCATCCAGTCTGGCCTTGAACACCTCCAGGGACGGGGCATCCACAACCTCTCTGAGCAGCTGTTCCAGTACCTCACCGCTCTCTCTGTAAAGAATTTCCCCCTGATGTCCAACCTAAATCTTCCCTCCCTCAACTTAAAACCATTTCTCCTTGTCCTGCTGTTATCTCCCCTTTCAAAGAGTTGATTCCCCTTCTGTTTGTAGGCTCCTTTTAGGTACTGAAAGGCTGCAATGAGGTCACCCCACAGCCTTCTTTTCTCCAGGCTGAACCACCCCAGCTTCCTCAGCCTGTCCTCATAGGGGAGGTGCTCCAGTCCCCTGATCATCTTATTGGCAAATAAAGATATGTGGCCTTTCGAAAGAAAAAAACAAAACCAAGAACAGTTTTCAGGGCTGCGATTCCTTTCAGAACTAAAACTCAGGACTTTTTAAATCTGGGTCTAAAGAGAAAAAAAAAAAAAAAAAAAGGAAAAAAAAAAAGCATTTTAGGAGGTTCATTAAAAGTAAGTTTGTATTTAACCTCAAGAAAGTGAGTCAGAAGTTTTCCCCAACCTCCTAGAGTGAAATAAGGCTTTGCTAAATAGGGTCTGGTAGGGCAGGTGTACACTCCTGTGTCGTGGTGCAAGAGAATCAGCATTTATGTCACTCTGTTCTTGCTTTATGTCAAGTCAGATCAGGTGCAATCATGATATCCTTAACAACTGAATAAACTACTGAAATCAATTTGTGGCAGTAATATCAGCCCCGCTTACCTGAGGTACGTCAGCGTCCTGAAGCAGAGCATCAGCTGAGGAGTATCAATCCAAAATGGAGAATGCCGCTCTGCAGATAGATGTAACAACACAAGACTGAGATTCCTTTCTCATGCAGAGGACTGGGTTGCTGGGAAGCTATTAGTTATTATCAGTTATTAGTGCAGTGGAAGTGAGACAGTCATGCCCTGGAGAAAAAGTGAGGACATGGGGCAGGTGCAAAACCACAGGCAGTGCAGGAGCACGGGGCAGGTGTAAAATGGGGATGGGGGTGTGTGCTGAGGGGAGATTCCTGCCGGCTGCAGAGGCGGGAAAAAGCAGCTACGCCGTGAGGGAGCAGCCGCCATCTTGACCGGTGGTGAGGGGCTGTTCCCCAATGGTGAGTGAGTTAAGAGTCGCGTGTGGAAACTTTTGCACGGCAGTTTGGAGGCTGGGTAGGGAAAAGGTTAGGAAGTGCTAGCTTAAATCAAGGATGGAGTTTTTCAAGGATAGGTTGTTACACACAGATTGATGCCACGCTGTTGTCAATGTGCCAGGGGTAGTTTTAGCTGTCAGTTTTGTCAGAGTCTGCCAACCAACTTTAACTTGTTTTCTGACTTTTCCAAATGTTTTCCAAGTTTTCGCTTGCTGTGCTGAGGATAAATTGTTCCTCAGTTCCTGTAAAACCACATTTGTTTACTTGTTTCCTTTTCATCTCCATTTCTTTCTTTGGTTTTCCTTTTCTTGGGGGGGTGGAACACAACCCCTGTACCTCACCCAGCCTTAACACAAACATAAACCCCTGAGGTTGGCTCATGAACCGCGAGGTTTTCTTCATCCACCAGTTGTCCCCCAAGTCCCAGTGCACAGCTGCTTCCCCTCAAGTTGGAAGGTGGGTCTGCCCATGCCGTTCTCAGGAGTAATCCATAACAGCACCTCTTTTCCCTGAGGTACTCCAGATGAAGACCTCTGTCTCCATGTGCAAGCAGTTCTGAGGAAGAAGAGTGTTCTGGCTTGGTGAGAGCTGCCTGCCTCACACCCAGCAGATGAGAACAGGTGAGCTACAGTTGTGCAGTGTTTCTCTCCTTCCCAAAACCTCTCTGTTCCTGCTCAGGACTGACAGCAGACGGCTCCATTTGGGAGAACTAATCACAGAAAAACCACACTGCAATAAAATTTAAGGAATGTTAAATTGAGAGAAGACTTCAGAGACCAAAATGTGAGAGAGCTGCAACTAAGATTGCACAGGTTCTGTGCATGCATTATGCTACATTTCTGTGACTGCATGATTTTTATTAACGTAAAGGATGGATGAAACAAGCATACTTCTGGTTTTCCTCACAATGCAACGTGTGGTCCAAGGGCTTGTTTACTGACCAGAGTTATTAATTTCCCCTTCAGCTCTTTCACACTACCTTAAACACTAAAATGCATATGCATGACAAACATGATTCAATATATTTTTGTTATACTGCCAGAAAGTGAAGGGAAATGAGGTACAGGAAAAAAAAATTAGAAAAGTATCCTAATATATCATTATTTTGGAATAATGTCTTCATATTAATACTGTAATTAGGGAGCAACTTGTAGAAAATGAATTTCTATGACCATGATTTTCTTAAAATGCAGCAAAGTAAACATCTAGATCAATTGGATCACCAAACTGGCAGAAGTCAGTCGCTTTGCCCTTTGGAATTCACTGAAATCACAGTAGTAATGTGTACAAAAGAAAAATCTAGATTCTAGTAACTTTATAGTTTCAATGTTTTTATTTAAAAAAACAAAACAAAACAACGACACACACACACACACAAAAACAAACAAACAAACAAAAAAAACAGGCTTAATGACCCTTAAATGCTTCAACCCTTGAATATGAAGTCAGGACCCCTGCAAATAAGGTACGTATAAATCTTCATTTATCATTGATTGTCTGAGTTGCTTTTCACCACATGATAGCTTTAGTAATAACAGTTAAAGAATTAAGATCTCAGTCTTCAGTGGTTTTAACTATGAGCCTCTGCTATCACACTCGGGAATCACTACCTCATTTATTACCTCTCATTTCCCAGTAAGGAGAGATTTGAAAGAATTTACTTTGAAATACAACACTGATTCATCCCAAAGTAGATCAGAATTATGCAGAGACAGACAAGAGTCTTGTAGAAAAAAATTACGTTAGATTATTTTATTAAATATAAAATGCGAGTGAGCAAGGAGAACTAAATTATAACTGAAGGAGTAAAATTCATTCTGTAATCTCCTTTCCCATGAGTCCTTGGCATTGGAATATGTCTAATTTTAGTATAGTTTCTGCCTGTCATTTTTCTGAGAGGCTCATAAATAAATGGGGAACAGATCTTGCATCACACTGACATGCTTGCGGGTCACTCCCAAATCAGGGACCTCTCATACCGTAACATGGACCTCTCTACCTGAGCTAATGGAGCAGTTAACAGTAGTGACAGCTTGCACATGCTTTCCCCCTAGGCTTCCAGTTGCAGTTTGCTGCACTCACATCCTTTCAAAAGCTAACCTTTTACTTTTTTTCCTTTGACCTACTGGTATTTCTTCCAGTATTTGATCCCAGATATTCCTTCAGTCTGCCTCCTCCAGCAGCACTCAGTCACTTTAGGTCTGGTTCTGATCTCTCCACACCTTGAATCTCAGTTCCATTCTTTGACCCACCAGCCTGCAGCACTAGGCTGACTCCACTAGATCTGTCCTGGTATCTTCAAATGAAACAGGTTCTACATTAGCATTAGTTATTTATGCCTTTTTGACTGCTGATGGAACAAGGAGAAAAATACAGTGCTAACCCCAACAGACAGAAATTACAGCTATCAAGAACACATTCTTGATGCAGTCCTTGTAAAAGGCTAGTAACTTGCCCAAGTCAGTTTAGGAGAGCCTTCCACAACATTGAGAATTTCAGTCCAAAGGGTTGAAATCCAGCAAGCTTGTAGGCAAGCAGAAGCAGAAGTTTTCAAGATGTCTTGAAAACAAAGTGTTTTAACTACTCCATTTAGAATAGAAGTATTTTTTTCTGTAGTTTGAGCTCAAGTAGGACATGAGGCCTTTCTCAAAACGGAAAATATTTAGGCAGTAAGAACAAATTTCTAACATTAATTTTTATGTAATTTCCTTTTAATTAAAAGGTGCAGAAAGTTTTCCCTGGAAATACCTTCTTCTGAGTGCCTGCATCACTATCAATAAAGATAATTCCAATTTTTTTTTTTTTTTTAATTGCTTACTTGTCTGTCAGCCCTGTTGTTTTGTTTTGTTTTGTTTTGTTTTCTGACATGTGAATGCTCTGATGAAGAGTCTGTACAGTGAGAGACTGGAAACAAGATCTATAAAATCTGGCTGAGCCCTTCTCTCTTCCTATTACTGAAAGGCTTGATCTTCTCAATTACATATAAGAAAACTAATCTGCATCAATTTTGAAAAGGGATTATTGTAAATGTAAAGATAGAAGATAGAGGCATATAAACAAAATATTTCAGTGTGAAATTGGTGGACATGGGTTGCTCTGCAGTAGTTACCTGTATGCTTGTGGTAAACGTGATATAATGTAGCCCTGTGTGAAATAAATTATTTTGCATTTACCTCTGCAGATCTGCTTGCATACAGGCAGTAATTATAATTGATATGCTGTGAATTCACATCTAAGCTGAGTTCACAGTCATTTATTTCTAGGCCTGTATGAGAATGAAATAGCCTTACTTTGTATGTGTTGCACTTCGCAAGTAAGGTCATTGTCATTCTGCGTCCACCAAGCGCCTTATGAAGGGAAACAGATTCACTCTAAGTTCACATTTCTTCTTAACTCAGATTTCTTTTTGTATACATTGCCAAGTAAACAAACACTTTTCCACCTCTTTCAGAGTCATCATCTCTGGAAGAAGTTGTCACATTGCGATCTAGATCTACGAGGGGACCTGTCTTTGGTGGCAGTGGTGAGTCTAAGACAGAACTATCAGGGTGTTCTCACTCCAAGTCACATAAAGCATAACAGTCAAACATGCAAGAGGAGGTTGTACATGATATATCACAAAATGTGGTTTGGCACAAAGTACAGTAACAGTTTAGGGAACAGGCTGTTCTTTAAATAATTTGCTTTTGTTTTCATGTTAGAATTCTTCATGCTGCTGATTTACAGCAAAGGCTTTTTTTTAAAAAAAAAAAAAAAAGCAGACCCACAACTAATCCATCAAAAAGATGCAGTATGTGGTTTCTTTGTCAAACATTTAAATAAATCATTCAGCTTTCTCTGGAGTATTTGTATCCTATTCACACTGGAATAGCATTGTTTTTCTTTTGAACCGTGAGCTGGATATTCGAATGTTGATGCATGTAGATGTACGTGCACAAATACACATGCCTGGTTTTGAAAATCTGATCTTAAATGCACAGGAGGTGAGTGAATGATGTGTGAGACGGAAAGAAATCGCCAGTGCTTAGCTAAAAAATCTGAAGGACGGGGAGCTGAGATGTGCTTATCACTGAGCTTTTGTAGGGGTCAAGGAGGTGATTTGGTAATTGGTGCCTTTTAGATCTGATGTCATTATTTAGCAAAGCACCAAACCAGCAGCTAATCCAAAAAAAATGAGAAGAACATTAGTTGCACTTATATCTACACTTAATATTGTTGTCTGTTTGTTGGTTTTTTTTGGTCTGTCATTCACAAGTAAGTTATGTTTTCAGTCTGTTTTGCTAGGTTTATGCTTCAGACACCCAGTAACTACAGAGCAATGCAGACGTGTCTCACATACATTTAATCTCAATAGTAATATAGATAAAATAGTTTAAAGTAAGATCTCTTTGGCTGTTTGGGGTTGTGTGATGTTGCTACTACAGCTAGCTCTCATTGTTTATTTTTGTGTTTGCTCTACAGAGTAAAAGTTAGCGGAGTGATCAATGGATTTTTCAATTCCTTTACAAAATAGAAATAAGAAAAATTTTCTCTGTGTTAACCCAGAATTTATCATTCACTTCTAAATGATTTTCTTCTTTCCTTTTTATATCGGGTATAATTTCTAGAGACTTCTGTCTTCTTACAAGTTTAGGTTGAATTCTGATTGTAAAATACTTTTCTCTGAGGGAAAATTCTACAGTTTTCTTAACCAGAAAAAAATGTTTTGCCATTTGGAGTATTTTCTGCATTTTTGAATGCACTGTTGACTGAACCTTTTCTAGTAACAAATAATTTTGGTCTATTCTAAATGGCCCAAAACCAGAATCCTGCTTCTATTTTGCACATTTCATTTGTTTGGGGAAAAAAAAAAAAAAAAGAAAAAGTATATTTTTATTTAAAAATGAAAGCATGAGACAAAAAGAATGAATTTTCTCAGAGTTGGCCATTGCAAAATGACTTCACATCTGTCTTTAAAAAGAAGCTTGTTTTTCACTAGAGGGAAATGTGGCAGGGCCAAACTACCTGCTCTTCAGAAGTACATGGGATGTTACAAACATGGGGCTTACAGGTACATGTAAAGGGAAAAAGGTGTGCAAATGTCTGATTTGGTAGACTAAAAGCAGCAAATGAGCATTTAGATTATTAAGTGAAGACTAAGCATAGACAGAAGGGAAATGCTAGTGATGATAAAAGCTGCTTAGACTAAATCCTGTTGCACATAATGTGACTTGAGGCATCAGCCCTCGAATGAGTTCTCTCTGAAGTGCCTAATCTTGATGAACACTGCTTATAAAATGTCTTCCTGATAATGCTAACCATTGTAAGCGTGAAGGGCAAGGGTGAAATCCTGGCTCTGTTGACATCATTAACAGTTCTGCCATTGATCTGAACTGGGTCAGGATCAGTCCAAATTAAAGCAGTAGCCTTGCTGACAAAAGCCTGCTAGTCAAAGGGAGGCCCAGTCATTGAGTTCATCAACCCCATGTGTTATGTTCAGCAAAGGTCAATAACATAGAAGGTCTCGGATTTAGATCACTAGGAAGATAAGCAGGCCAGGCTGAAACAAAGCTCCAAATCAAGGAATAGCATAATTTAGATATTTGCTGTGTTATTTGCTTGAGAATTTTTAAAATATGCTTTATCCAAATTCAAATACAGTATAAAATGAAGTAGAAGAATATGATCTCCGTGGGAAGAGGTCACGGAAACAATATCTGTGCACCTGCCTACAGATCTATGCAAGCATTTTCAAAACAAGCATTTTGGAAACAGACAGCTACTGCTAATCTATTATTGTTTCCACACAGATATTTATATAAATATTCTCCTTATGAAATGCCACATATGAAAGGCTTAGCTTTGGATATCAGCAGAAGAAACAAGTACAACCTGTGTAAATACTGTCTAAAACATAAATGGTTTGGACATCTGGACTTTATAATAGAGACAACTATTAGAGACAACTATTAGACAACTAATAGAGACAACTAAAAAAAACTGTAATCTGAAGGACTGAACTAAAATCAGTTATGCTGAAAAAGCTTTTTTCTTTCTGCGAGCTGGCTTCTTTATCTTATTTGGATTTGGAACAACTTTCTTGATTTAAAATTGTCTATAGATTATAAAGCATTAATTCAAAAGAATATATGTTCCTAATAGGTTGCAATTTTTTATTCCTTTAAACATTTTCTACTTGACTTTATTCTATGAAAAGTTAAAAATGCATCCTGAAAAGTAGCTACAAACCTATCCTATCAACTATATCTATTAATTTCAAATAAAATCACCTGAACACAGTTTGGTAATACATGCTGCAAAGCTATGTATATGCCAGTGCACACACACATGTTTATCCACACATACATCCTTTAATTTTCTTCCTGAAACCAGCACGCTTTGGAATGATATTTTAATTTATTATTATGAAAGGAATGGCAACTGGTTTTTAATGGTTACAGAATGGTGACTCACAACACTGTCCCAGATGCTGTCACCGTCGCTATGAGAGCAGATTTGCAACATCTTGTCATAGGCACACATCAGTGCTCATGCCTGCTGCCTTCATCCCAGAGGACAGCCTAACACCTGCTGCTGGCAGCGTGCCGGCCCTTCGGGGAACAAATGTTCCATTGCTGCTGGGTGATAGGATAGGACAGATTCGAGATTTCAAGTGAACTGGCTAAAGGCACCCTAGGGCTCAGTGCACCCACCCCAGCACCCAGATGGTTGTCATTTTTGTAGGAATATTAGAGAGCAAGTGGTATGCTTATAGCTGCGCCTTGTAAATACAGAACAAGAAAAAAAATCAGCAGCACTTTGGATGATAAAATTTCTAGTATTAGGTGTAGTTCCATAGAAAATTAAACATTTTTTCAGTCAGTATCATACTGCTGGAGTAATACATTCCTAGTCTGTATTTATCAGATTACCAGCTTGGAAGAATCTAAATGCAAATTCTCTTCTGAATGAATATAGTGCTTCTTTATTGCAGAATATCCTTAACCTTATGCAGTTCACAAATCCTATACAAAATAAACAGCATTTTTGTTTTTCACATAGTGTTGAGTTGCCATGCCTTTATGTTGCCAAATATACTATGTTAAGATGAGACATAAGGACAAAATCAAAGTGGGTAAATATATTTTGCAAGTGTTCCTTTCAAATTTTTTTTTCAATACATTTATCACAGAGTTTTTAAGTAAAGAGTGCAGTGCACTAGCTATGGAGAGCCCAGATTTCTCACTGAATTCAAGGGAGCTTAAAGGATTCCTGGTTGGAAAAAAGCAGCTTTCTTTAGGATCAGGTCTCTCAGTGAGCACAGAGTGTATTTCTTTCCACTTATTACTCTGTGTCCAGTGGAATGATAATGACAGTAATGATGGTTTCACTTCGTGTGGATTGAATAGCAGGCTAATGAAGATGAGGTTGAGATTTTTTCAACTGTTACAAACAAATTTCAAATAAGATCATTTTTATCACTGCATTTAAGAAGTCTTTTTGCCCACACTATTCCCAAAAGCTTAGGTCAAAAACATGCCATGTATCTGACAGAGATACACTCTGGGATGCTGAGCATTAGCATTTCAGCTACTGTAGCAATATCGTTTTGGTACAGCATTTTGTTCTTTACACAGGATTTTGCTCCTATGAAAACAGAATCCTTTAAAAATAAAAGGATTGATCATAGGTTTCTACCAGGATGGCTTGATCCAAAATCTCTAGATAGCTGCAGTTCAGTTCAGAGTGGTTTAAATCAATGTGCAGTAGAGCAAAACCCAGGTGATATTTCATTTTCACTGCAGTATGCTGCACTTTTCTGCAACAAATCAATCTAATCTGTATCACAATATACTGAGCAACATCCTGAACTAGCAGCAAGAGAATTCCTGACGGCTTCCACCAGTTGAAAAAAATCCCTCTTTTTCTCATGTTAGAGCTACTGGTTCTTGGGATACATCCCCATAAAGTCTTAGGAAAGAACAGCATCACACAGATCTCTTTGTGGTTCTTCGAATAGGTTCATATGCCATTCTTTGTCGTGATCTATGAACTGATTTTCCAGTTGATGACAGTTCATAACAGTCACTCTGCCAGTGATCTCACAGTTGACCCTGAACAACTTACATTGTTTCTCTTTGACCCATAATTCTTTCTGTAAAATGCTGCTAATAATATCCACAACTGAGAGGTGTTGGGTGAATCCGTGCTGCAGAGGGCTTTGAAGATGAAAAGGCTTATTTAAATGTGAAGTATTGCCACTATTATTGTTAAAGATTAAGGATGCATTCTGCCCTCAGATGGACTTGCGCAGCTGCTGCTATTCATATTGCCCATGTTTGCACAAATAACCATGCAATGGTGCAGAGAAGTACAAATCCAGAGACTTAAGTTCAGCAAGTCAGCTTCACTGGAGCAAAGACAAGGTTTTTTTGTGCAGATGGCTGGCATGCAAATTTGATACAGGCACAATTAGGAGGTGCTTTTAAGGCATTTACATCAAATGAGCTCTTTTCAGCTTCTATTGCTCTGATGATATTAACT